CAGCAGATTCACTTTCTGTGATAGCAAAGATGTCAATTTGGAAACAGACAAGACAAGAACTTCTCACCACTGAGAAGATATGTCATCAACATAATGAAGTCACAGCAAGATGTGAAGAACCATGTACCATCTCCTTGATTGGTTTGGTAAAGAGAAGAGAACACGCGTGCACGCACTTTCTTCTCACCCAACATGTGGGGTGATGTTCAACTCATCTTTTATTTTTGTATTACATGAAATTAGCAAGTTGTTAATTCACAGAATTAACCTGTTTTACCATGTAACTAAACTGCCATCTACTGACCAATGGACAGATATCTCTGTAACCATTGCTTTTAGGATCTGTGTAATTGTGTAGGATTATCTGTGCAACTATTATACTATATAATGTAGAGCAAAATTCTGTTAACTTATTAGTAGTGTTAAAATGTATGTGACAGTTAAAGCAGTTAACACTCTCAAGGAAACTGGTTTAATGATCTGCTGATATAGCTGTTGGTTAAACTGTGTTTTCCATGACTGTTTTTTTAATCATCACTATTTTTATGTTTTGGATTAGGATACAGTCAGGAAACTGGAGAAGACCATGTTGGTTCCATTCAACATTGGGGGCTTAGCCCAGCACAGAAATCTTTATATTTTAACCCCACCCCCTTTGCCACCTACCCAAAGTATGTCTATAAAGCAGTAACAGTAACTTATATATATAGCCTACATTTATTATGAAATTTATAATTACTATTGATAATTAATTAATTAACACTGAAGTTAAATAGGGAGGTCTGGGGGTCCTCCCCTGAAACATTTGAGCATTTAACACTTAATTTCCTGAATTCTAGAGACATTTTCTGCACCAATTCATGGTGGAAATGTCTTTATCTTTATAACGGGAAGGACAAAATTTAGGTGGCAGGTGACAATTCTGAGTATAAAAATATGTTAGAATGTAATGCAGTAATCAGAAGTTTGTTTTTTTTACTTATATCTATATTGGTTTTTACGCGCATTTGGCGAATTAGTATTTTTTTGGACCACAACACAAGAATCAGCTGAGCAGAGGAGGAGGGAGTGAGTGCTGTAAGAGATGTGATTGGGCCAGCCCAATGTCAGTATAGGCCTATGCTTTATGGGCCGATCGTTGGCCCATTTTTTAAAACAGTTTGGCCTATATAAATAATAATTTGACTTGTAGCCTAATCGATGAGACAAGCACGCTGCTCTTCATCAGAGGAAGAAAACCGAAACTGAAAACACTTGTGATCAGACAGCAACAACCACCACCATTTCACACAAATGTTCACTTCAGCACCTCTGATAAAGTGCAGCTCACAGCTGCTTTAGAGGGAATGAAGCATCCTGGAGCAGAGAGACAGTCAAACAGAGCAAAGTGTCTCTGACACAGAGAACAGGTGTATCATGTTACCCTCTCACTACTTTGCAGCGACTGTTACCCGTTTGTGTAGCATATACACTGACTAGACACTGACCGGCAACATTTCTATTTAAATGTATTGATTACAATTTTGCTATGGACAATTCAGAAGTCCGGATAAAGCCCTGAAGCTGTGAGCAATGCGCTCTCTCTCTCTCTCTCTCTCTCTCTCTCTCTCGTGCTCCCTCTAAACGCAGGCAGGCTGAGTAACGATGGGGGGTCACGTTAAGTGAACTTTAAACAAAATGTAGCAATATTATTTCCAGTAGCCTCTGCTCTTTGCAGACCTGCGAGAGAGGCTGCATCATGAAGATTATTGCTTATTAACATGGAAATATTTTTGTTGCTGTTGTTGAGTTACATTGGGGGCTACAGTCAAAGCTTTTGGGGCTAAAGCCCTGGAAAAATGACCTGGCGACGCCGATGGTTCTATTTAGTATAGGCTTCGCCAGAGCTGGATTGGTAATCTGGCCGACGCACCTTTGTGGCCGGTGTAAGTAAATTATGTAACTGTTTTGTTTTTTTGTTTTTTTTTAATGGGCCAACGATCGGCCCATAAACCATGGACAGCGACCCATTGGGTAATTTCCTATACTGACACTTGTCCGGCCCAATCACATCTCTTACCAGCCCCCTCTGCTCTCTGTTTCTTGCCTTATATAATATTTAGTTATAATAAATAGTTTTACTAAACTACCACTACAGCAGCAATTTAAGATTAAATCTGACGGAAGACCAACGCCAAAACTGGAGCTGGGCGTGTAGAGAAAAAAGGGACGTTCTGGACGTTCAATGAGGAAAACTAGATCCATACAGTGTGGCTAGCTAGTAGCGCCAAACTTCGACTGCCTGTTGTTGCAGAGGACGAAAAAGCCAGTGGGAAATTCTTTAACTTGGTTATTGACCACTTCGCCACCATGACAGAGAGGAGAATGGTCTTCCTTTTCAAATAGGGTGAGGAAAATGTCATAACTCCTTCTCTCGGTAAGCATGGAGTAGCTCAGCCTGTAGGGAAGGGAGGGTCATTTACAGTGGGGACGCTGGGGACATGTAGGCTACCCACCACTTTTTGAAAGCATTTATTAAAATGTTCTGAAAAATAGCTTACACCAAGAAATGTTAATTAACAAATAAAAATGCTATGAAAAAGGTTTATTTGCACAATAAGCCTGCAATACAATGTAAATATAGAAAAAAACTCTAATATACTTTAAACTTTAATATATTCTTGTCATGTCATGGCCCCAATCTTGTGCAATGTTACGTCTTATGGCTAAGTGTTTCGTCACATCCCTAATCTGATGGAGTATTGGTGAGGGGTCTCTGACTCATTTTGGTGGGCCGCGTGGGCCAAAAATGCTAGGGCCGATCTTTTGTCCCAGCCAGCCCTGGGCTTCGCCCTCTAAGGCTATCGCTAGTGGGTTCATTTCTCGTGCACATGAGATGCACTGAAAGCTGTGCACTACTCCCGGGGTACTATCTGCTTCCGCCTCTCTCCCAGTGATCAGTGGGCTCCTCCGGGAGCTCTCGTCGTCATTCATAAAGCGGCCGCTTGGCCCAGTAGCACGCTCCGCAGGATGAAATGGCCGGGGTGTTGGCCGTTAGCCAGCCATCTAAGTGCAGTCCTGTCACGTTTCCCTCCATCAAGGGAGCGGTGGTGGATAAAAAAAAAAAAAGTCAGTCAGAGTGACTGTTATCTGTGGACATGCGATGCGTTCTCCCATTCGCCGGACTGCACAGGGAGAGCTGCACAGGGAGAGCTGCACAGGGAGAGGTGCCGTTCATGTCAGCCCTGCTCTGTTTTCAACTGGAACTGATTTCTACACCAGCAGGGGCCCTCCTCTCTGTCCCCAGCCTTGTTAGGGCATGGAGAATATGAGATATTCGATGATGTGCCATTTGGGCATGTGTAATGCAGCGTTACGCATTGTGCAATGCCGGGTGGGGGCTGCTGTATTAGTGCTCTGGGCAAGTGTGTCTGTGCTTGGTGGTACCGCTTGATGAGACGTTGACTCATCCTGCTTCGCCTTTAACCCACTAGCCATCACCTTACTGCCAAAGTCCACTGACTCCGGCTGTGTCGCGTTACAGCTGTGCCATGGTTTTGCCTGACATTAGTGCCCGCTGGAAACATCTCAGAAGCGTTTCAGCAGCGGAGCGTGTAGCCTGCCCCACATTATTGACTTGTTATTAATTTGTCCGTTTTGTGCTTCTACTACCTTCTTTACAGCTCTCTGTGACCCTGTTTTGTTCTGCCTTCTGCAGGCTGCAAATCCCACAAGGAGCATTGCCTGCCTGATTTTGCTGACATGTTTAGATTTTGTTGATTTGGTCATTAGTGCTTGCTTTTTGTGCTTCTACTATGATTAAGTAGGCTATGTAGTTAAATTATTTCTTTATGTGTCTGTTTTAACCGTGTTTTATGTAGTTTTATGATAGGGTGTTTTATTTTGAAAATTGACAGGATTTTCTATGCCATTCTGTGTCTGACTTCCTGCCCGGAAGCTCTGTGCTCTGTTCTGCTTGATGGGGCTTCCATCAAATATAGATGCTGGTGGGATGCGGTGCGGCTGAATCTGGTGGACTTACAAGCATTGACTAGAATGGCCGCGATTAGCTCCGGCAGCGGTGGCGTAGCTGTAATGCAGAGGTGAAGCCTATATGAAATAGTTACATATTGTAACGACAGATTCTATGAGTATAGGTGTAGCCCTCTAAGCTATGGGTGTCACTGGCTCCTTTAAATGATTTCAAGAAAAAAAGCTATTTAGGAGCTGGTGGGCAGATACAAAACCTCTTCTGTGCTAACTTTCTGAAAAGAAGCTGGCTCTGTGTTCTAACCCAATGAATGAGAAGTAATGTTGAGTCCTGCTTCTTCCTGAGAACTGGGCCCGCAAGAACTGGGTCGTCATAGTTGTCTATGATTTCTTTGAAAACAAGGTCAATCTGGAAGAATTCAATTGCTTCTGAAGAGACTGATCAAATTAAAAGTTTTGATAAATTTGTTTAATTTCCCTATAATTAAATAGGATGGGGATGTTTCACGTTACAAACATTACAACATTTCCTATCTTCAATACTTGCAGCTTCATGAAATTCCTACCTTTGGCAGCAAAAATAACTTGCATTATGTAAATTTTACTACAATGTACTAAGTTGTATCAGGTCAGGGTTGACTGTAAAATTAGTGGTGAAACAGCAAACTCAACAACATGTAAATCCCAGTGATCGACCTAAAAGCTGCTGCTGTGCTATTATACAACATTGAGGAAGAAAATAAAGTGCTTCTTTTGAATCATTATCAGCATTCAGAGACCAGAGAATCGAGTTTGATTCCAAGGTAGGAAAGTTATTAGCATTATATATTTTGCAGAATTTCTGTGTAGGTGGAAATGGTCTATACCTGCTTCCTAAGATCTGGCTGGACTCATTTAATCCCCACCTGGAATAAGACTGTTTTATGGAGAGTAGCCAAAATGTTTTACAAAGCCATTTCATCCCATATATATAAATCCCAAATGGAAAGTTTAGCTGCTGTTGGTCTGTCAGGTCCATAATAAGACAGTACTAACAGTTTAACTGTTGTTTAATTTGTGCACATACATTGTTGTGAAGCTACATGTACAAATTGTGTGATAGTTTTACCTGTACAACAATATCTTTGATACATTTTAAGCTTCAAATGCATAGAAAACAGGAAAAGCCTTTAAAACTTGCTGCACATAGAGCCTTTGCATTATTCACATTCAGACAACAAATACATTGTATTTATATGCACATATCAATCCAGATGTTGTGTCATATGGATATTTATAACTGGCCAGATATAGTAAGATGTTACATGGTACATAAAACTGTGAAAACACTGCTGTTGCATTTGTTTAGTATTAGCTGCACTGTACATTTTTTCTGTGAGTACAAAATTGCACAAACTTAACCTTATATGCCTGCAGTTGCATGTAAGTCAATGTATGTTTACGCTGTTACCGTAGATAAGTCATGAAAACAGTGCATTTACAGTGGCAACCCCGTGCTGAACCTAAGAAATCCCATTGATCCCATTTAACATCTGTTTGCCCTTCCTATTTAATCAAACTTTCTGTACATCACATTAAGGAAGTAATAACATCAATTCATAGGATCTTTATAGTGCACACATTCGACTACACATAGAAACTTCAGTATTTGAGACCCAGAGACCAATCAGTACTTAAGGTCTAGCTACACCAGCATTTAAAACGGTGACATTTCACAGTAAAATAAATTAAGTCCAAATGGAATCACTGTGATCAGTAAATTTATGTAAATCCATGCAAATCTTTCTTGGTCTTTTGGTGAATCGACAGCAAACCGTCCTGACAGTACTTAACAAGATCAGTACTGACCAATCAGCGTTTTTAACTGTGTTACACTATCCACTTCTATTTTTAAGCTAACCCTCCTCTGTTGGAGATTTTAAAGAGGAGTTGATGGCAAAAATACATCTCCTGATAATGTTGCTAATGTGTGGAATCGTCCCACTAGCGACCAAGCTAACACGCTTGCTTACTGTCTGTTAGCAAGCTAGCAAATTAGGGGATTACTGCCAAGAGGGAGTAAACAGCTTTCTAGAAGTGTTAGCAATTAGCTCACCAACTAGCCCTGCAAGTAGTTACCAAGCCTGTATTTCGGCTAATTTAGCAAGGATTTCGTCGTGTAACCCGTCCATAAGGTTGTCTGTGTCAACTATTTTGAGATGGCTTTATTTGGGAATACAAATGCACAATATAAACAAATAATGAAGGTCTAGATTTTACAGAGCCCATCTACAGGACAACGCCCCAAGACTCAACTTAGTTGATGTTCACTTTCTGTCACTCTTCCTTCCTTCATGGAAGGGTATATTTCGTAATTTCGCCTTCATCTTTCTGTCAGTACGCATCACTTAATGTTAAGTGATACCAACAAACTAAAGGAGATCAGAACTCACTCTCCTCTATAATTTCCTCCATGGTCTCCCCGAGCGTTATCTCTCCATCACTACTGGACAGGCTCTTCCTGGTGAGAAAGTCAAGCCCTGTTGTGTCACAGCCCATCAACCCCTGGCCTTTAACCTCTCCTAGTCCAAGCCCCCCACCTCCTCCATGTACAGCCACCTGAAGCAGATGTGGGTGCGTTGTGGAGGTGCCACCCTCGTCGTAGGAGTAACTCTGCCGAGAGCAGTGTGGGCGGTGCACTTGAGTGCACTTCCACAGATGTTTGAGCGGCACACCCTGAAAACAGCTCCTGAACTGGAAGTGGTTGGTAAACAGAAAGAGTTGCCAGCGCTTCTTCAGTTCAGCTTGGACCTAAATTCCAGTAAGTAAAGAAAATAATTAACTGTCAGTTTCAACATGCCTTCAAAGAAGGCCACCTGTACTGCTTTAACACAAATGACTGATAAATGGATCAATTGACAAAACAAATGTTGGTGCTGTGTTGCTTGACTTCAGTGTTGCTTTTGATATTATCAACCAACTATTGCTGAAATAACTTTGGCATACGGATTCACTGCAAATGCTGTCAGCTGGAAGAATAGTTGCTGTACTTGACTAATAGAATGAAGTGTTTACTTTAATTGTTGTTTTTCAACTAAACAAATTTTGAATGTGGGGTTTCCCAAGAAAATGCCTGGGTACTTTCCTCATTTCAGTTTTACTAGTCCTACTCCCTGTTTTGATTAGAGCAGTTATGATGATGTACGCTGATGATTCAACGTTCTGTAAGTCTACTGATAGTATAGCTGAGCTAAATAAAGTTCTGCAAAGTGAATTTGCTAACTGTCTGTCATTTGGTGCTGGGCAGGTAGCTTACAGGTGGTTTGAGCATTCATTTCTGCTACTGGGAATGAGGTTAATGTGAGTGAATTTGGTTTGTGGCAAACCAAAACAATGAGCTAAAAGAGGCTAAAAAAGCCCAAACCAACAATTGACTTCTTCCCTTTTTGCCTTAAGTTCCACAATTCATAGTATACACAATTATGATTCTACAACATCCGTGAAAATCACAGTACATACAGAAGAAGAAACATACCTCTCCATTAGCAAAACAGTACAGCACAGCAACCAAGAATCCCTGAAAGGTTTACAAATTACAAGTCATGTTTAATGTGGATTTAGAACAAGATGAGTTGTCAGGTATGTAATTAACTTTACAGGTGTTACCTGAAATGAGCTGAGAGTGAGGTTGACGAAGTTCCTGGCGTAGCGACTGCTGCCCTCCACGCATTCATCTATCAGCACAGTGAAGACCACTTCATGGATTCCCAGCAGAGGAATCAGTACCAGTGTTGCTCGGGCCAAGCTGAAGGGCATAAACAAAATAAACTGTGGTGCATAATTACAGACTGTTAGGACACACACAGGGGGGAAATGGTGTAAAATGTGGGAGAAAGGAAAGCGTTGTAAATATATGCATGAGGGTCCCTCCTGTGGTGACATTTAAGGTGGAATAAAGAGGCCTGAGTTTATGTGGTGACATTTAAATTTCTGCTGTACATGGGAGTGATTAACATTTAAATGTTAATCCA